AAAAAAAAAAACGCTGGGAAAGAAAGATAGAGACACAAAAGAGTGGAACGTTTGCAATGTAAATTATTTTGTATCGCAATCTTTGATCAACCGAAAATTCAAATCAAATGAAACAATCTCAAAGACAAAAATTGAAAAAAGGTAAGAATATAAAAAGAAATTAAACGATGGTTACAACTTGCTTATGCATTCTTAATTTATGGAAATTTCGTTAAAAACATTAACATAAACTAATAATGTAGGTACTGAGTTTCTGATAGAAAAATGTAATCAACTCACAATCGAAAACGTTTTGAATATTATCGGTTCCGTAACGATAGCTTCTATTTCAAAAACAATTTTAATACACTGTCTGCCTAACTATTATAAGCTATAGTAAAAAAAAAAACTAGTCCACGCGTAGTGCATCGATAATTCGGAAAACAAGAGTATAATAATATCGTCGCGACCTTTTTTTTTCATTTTGGTCTTAAATGTTATTGCCGTTAGGGAAAAAGACAAAGGYACCGAACACCGTTCGTTCGGAGTCAATATCCAAGCTCTAAAAACGTCGTAAGTCAATGTTTTGTACAAACGTATCTTGAGATGAAAGCTGGGATGCAGCAATATCGCATTTGCACAGTGGCGGCTTACCGTYCGTCGAAAAACTGATTGAACGCATGAAAACTTCGAACTTCAATATTGGGATTTAAATACCACTATATATCGCAAAAAAGTTTGCTCGGGTTGGTTAGATTATTGGTCTACTAGCGAAATTAAGTGCGTTTCGACAATGTAGCCCTTGATAATATTCAAGTGTTAGACCGGTAATGACTCCTACTTTGTTAGAGCTCTGATACTTGTTAATTTAGTCCCCAATGCTTTTTTTTTTATACATACACAATAATGTATATAAATCGAAGAGAAACTTTTAGATTTAAGTCAGTTAAATTTTTAAAATGTTATTTTAATTTTAATATTAGTCCATTGTCAAGAATAGTATTAGGGTTTTATATTTTTATATTTTTATTTTTTTAATGTATTATATGCATTATATTATTTATTCTTTATTTTGAATTAATTAATTTATTGTTGTACGTTATCATATAATTTGGYCATACATTCCATATTTTATACTGTAGAAGGGATAGTCCAGTTGAGTTATAAATAAAATAAATAATAATACATCACATGTCCATTTTCGAATAAAGTCAGACCGCAATAGTTAAATCGAAATAATTAAGCAYGCGTTATTATAATATTAGGTTTTAGAAGAAAAAAATACTTTTATCTATACACTTAAAATTATTGAGGTAGTGGTGACATTTTCGAATGATGAACATAGAAAAAATATTTCGTCATAACCGTGGGCAATTAACAGATTATCTAAAATTTTGAATACATCTGGCAAAAATTTGTACTAGCCATTTTAAAATTTTAAATTCAGACGWAACAAATTCGTTTGAAATCATATTTTTTTCACGCCAACTATATACAATTGCCTATTGGTCTGGGTCGTAACTGATTGAACGTAATATTTCAACGGTTAAACTCGGGCTCGACCACCGCCGGCCGATGGCCTAGTTTTAAACATCATTAATCACACACATTTTTTTTTTCATTTTATTTTAACGAACATTTTCATCTCGCCTTAGAAAATATACTAAAACGAGCACCGGTCACTGGTTTTAAATCAAAATTCGACGGTCGCCCAACAAAAAAAAAAAGTAAATAAATCGAAAGAAAAAAATAAATTACATTTTTGAATTATTAACGAAAAAATTGGTAAGTGAAATGTCTGGAACRAAAACATATCCCACAGATTTAAGTATCGATTATGCGTTTTGAAATCCGTATCGAATATACCGCCAAAAGAACGAATAATAAATAAAATTAATACTCCTTTTAACGATAAAACGAAATCTAGTTTATCTTGAAATTGTTAAATTCGTCAAAATTTCAATTTCCGTTCATCTCGAAATCAATAGAACACAATTTGTTTATACGACGAAATGCGTTAGCGTTATACACTGCACAGTTTTTAAGCGCCATACATAACCTATGGTATTGTAGGTGTTTGAAAATAACAAGGTTATCGAGTGACCGCTAATTACACGCGCGTCTAGTCGAAAATTCTAAAAATTCTAAAAAATCGAAATCCCAGCCAACTCTCAATAATCATATCGTACCGTCGAAAACCAGGCAAGCGAAATATCCGCAAGTTTATTATCTACACGCATAACACCCAAAACTCGGTGCCGGCGACTTAGGTTATTTGCATATTATTGTGTTCTAATAACCATAAAATGATTGCTATATCATTTCGGTTCGTCATGTTTATTCATGGCGCGTCTAGCACGTACATGTGACACTGATGAAACTGCCACAGATGTTTGGGCACGGCTGGCCGGAACGGGGCTGTGCCGACGTTCGTGATTTTCGCGGTGAACCGCAACAGCCGTCGGGTGATCAGGTGCCAATCGGTCTCGTCCCGCCGGAGCTGGTACGCGGACGACGCCAGACAGTTCTCCTCCATGGCGCACTGCAAGAAGTACATCTGCCTGTCCTCCAGGTACGCCGATCTCATCAGTTCGTCTGCGTTCACCGCCAAGTCCGCCATTTCTGCAATGCAAATTTATTAAAATAATATCTCTTTTTATTGATTTTAAATTTATTTCCTGAAACATAATATTACTTATATATGTTATTTTTAATTACCCGGCACAAAATATGACTTATTTAAGTATGTATATATGTATAAATATGTCTAACTTTTAAACGACGAAAGAGTATTATGTATAACATAACAAGTCGATTTTTCTGATTAATATTAATCGTTATACATACGTAAATAATAGATGCTTATAGCTGCAGTTAGTACAATAAAAACCCAACTAAAATAATTTCAACTCATAATATAGGTAACCGTAAAGTGAAAATCGATAAACACTCGAAATTATAGTAATATTGAGTTAATCGATGTGCAAAAAAGACTTAAATTAACTCATCAATAATTTTTCTTTCTTTCTTGAACTGTTTTTACTCTTCCTTCTATTCTTTTCCTTAGATAAAACTTTGATGTACATAGTAGTATCTTTGGCCTCGGAAATTGAGAGTTGGGTAATTATTTGATTGATTCCCTAAACCAATATAATTCGTTGTCACGGTATACCAGGTGCAGCCTGGTAATCCCGAAATTTGGTATAAAAGTGTTTCMGGTAATTTCGACATAAAAGTTTTTAATTAAAATCGTTGGTTTCACCACCAAGTTCTCCTTWCTGACGATCTTTAAAAACAACGATCCAGTAAAAAGCTTTTCAATATCATTAGCAACCTGCGCCAACTGTTCAAACACTTTCATTAATTTTATTGAGCACTTTTGTACACTTAAAACTAACGAAATACACTAATACTCTTAACTAAATACTTTTAACACTTGAAAAAACAGACAATATTACGCCATAAACAGCCTAATAAAATATAAAACTAATATATTTTAACTCATAAGACATGTTCACAAATCACCAAAAAAATATAATCACTTAATTATTACATGTATTTCAAGCTATATGCTATAGATAATAATATAGAAGATAAAAACATCCCATTTTTTGTTAGACGTTTAATTTTTTTCGTCGATGATCGTACATAATRAATGTATGATAAAAAATCTGGGAAAGTGGATGTTGCTCTGCTKTACAGTAGGTTACTAGTGGGTTACTGTAATGGATGGAATAAAATTTGATAGTAAAATTTTAGTAATAATAATAAAAATAATATGAATTCAGTATGGTATGGTAATCTGAAATGAAAAAAATCATTATTAAAAACTCGACACTAAGTATATGCGTGATGGAAAATCGGCACGTTATTAAATATTATTTCGGGAGGAAAATAGTGATCATGATATTTTTTCGATGACAAAAGTTTTGAACCTTCGCATTATGCATAATAATATACCTACCCTAATACCCAGGATACCTATACATTTATAACTCATATATWYATACATACAAAAGTATATACTGGTAGGTAYCTGCTCTTTATCGGGAAATTGTAAGTCCCTACACGAGAGTAACAGGTGGACAATTACGTAGGTTAATTCTCACATATGTGATGTATAAGTTCCTATACGAAAAAAAAAGTACGTACTATGTTAGTTCCTACACTACGTATGTTAGGTATAAGTTATCAATCTACGTCTATAAAATACTGTCATACATTTTAACCCTTTATTCCATATAAAATATAAGTAATGCATTCTATATAATAATAATCATTCATAATTGTAAGAACGTGATAGTGTGGAGTAAGTGATTAAAAATAATGTAATTGCACTCGTTTCACTCTATATATGTACTATGTACATGGTCAGTGTCGGYCTGGCCCACCCGGCTACCCGGCGATCGCCGAGGGCCCTTGGATATTTTTCAATATTAGGGGCCCATAGCCAATTGTAAACGTAATAAAAAATGGCCATGTGTTTAAAATTCTAATTGGTCACAACCCTGACAAATATGTAAGCATTGAACAAAATTGTAATAACTATTTACCAAAAATATTTCAAATTCTTTTTAAATTTACAACTAAAACGGGCTTGTTCAATACACTGTACATACCATTAAAATATGTTCTTATACTACACAAGTTAAGAGTGAACGAGTGTTTTCAAAACTACAAATTTTAAAAAACAAACATAAATCTTCATTTAGCCAGAAATATTTGGATCCTTTAACTGATATATTTGTTGAAGATGATATCATTCAATGTATAAGCAAAGATAAAGTTATTGATATGTTAT